GCGTGAGCAAGGCGTTGTTGCACTTGTTGCCCCAGGCCCCGCCATACTGCTTCGAGGTTCGACGCTCCAAAGACGACGTCGCGTACGTTACATTGTACAAGCAGTCGGGCGACGTGCTCGTCAACGGAGAGGTCCTTCGTAGAGAACGCGAGACACCGCTGGAGCATGCTGCCTGCCTTGGGTTCGGCGGCGCGGACGAGACGTACGTCTACGTGAACCGGAAAAAGAGCGATTTGTTCAAGGCTCCTCGCAGCGTGCTGGAAGAGCATTTGGTGGGACACCACCTGGGTAGAGGCACATTCGGAAGGGTCTATCTGATATTCGATAAAACGCCGAATTACGGACGCAAAGCCATGAAGGTTGTCGAGCCGAAAACCGAGAAACAAGTTCAATTCGCCGACAGAGAAGCTGAAATTCTCATGAACTTGAAACATCCTTGTATCATCGAGACGTACAGCATCCAACGTTTGGACCTGCAACAGTTCGTTCTGATGGAGTATCTACCAGGCGGGGATCTTTCGCAGTTCGTGAACGACGAGCGCCATCTGACTGAAGAGCAGACGAAGCTGATCTTTTACCAACTGTCGCTCGCGGTGCACTACCTGCACAAACAGAGCGTGTGCCACCGCGACCTCAAGCCAGACAACATTCTGCTGCGACGTCGCGACCCGCGCACCCTCATCAAGGTGACGGATTTCGGCCTGGCCAAGGACCTGAAGAAGCACTCGTCGCTGAAGACGCTGGCCGGCTCCAGGCCGTACCTCGCGCCCGAAATCATCAAAGAGGATGCGTACACGCCCGCCGTGGACGTGTGGAGCATGGGGGTGATTCTGTTCCACAGCCTGACGGGCGCGCTGCCCTTCCACAGCCTGGAGGACGCCATCCTCGCGCGCTACGACGTCAAGTTCAACCGCGCGCGCTGGCGGGACGTGTCCTCGGCGGGGCGCGGCTTGGTGAAGAGCATGCTGAGGGTGAAGGCCTCCCAACGCCCCTCCGTGGCAGACGTCATCGAAAATCCCTGGCTGCAAGACAGTGCCATGCGGAACATGGCCTACCAGCTGATGGATTAAACAATGAATCATCCAATGGTGATTACTTTTGAGATGTATTTTATTTAGGATTGATTATTAGGATTTAGCATTGATTTAATATTAGGACCTGAATATGAATTGAATTGAAATGAATATGAATTATTTTACGTGGCGAGTCTCAGGCCATGAGACCTGCTCTTCCGTCTGACCACGCAAATTTCGCTACGCTCCTTTCTCCACCTAGCAGAGAAAGGAGGTATTTCTTGGGCGAGAAACAGGCGATTTGAATTCAGTTCAGAGGCGTCATTTAGGCTTGAGTATCTTTTACATGCAAGTAAATCTACTAACATGGGACAGCCAGCTTTACTTCCCTCCGAAGGAAGGAGTACCTTAAAAATCGCCCTTAAAATCCACGGCTTCGATCCACGGTACGCTAACCGTTACACCATCGCCGCCGCGCAAATATCGTTGTAAGTTGTGTGTCATTTGAGCATTTAAAAGTCAAATATATTTTTTCTCACTTACTCTTGTAAAGTGGATAAAGAAATAAATTCTCATATTTCTGGAACATTTTAATATACAATTTTTTCTTATTGAAGGTCGCATCAACATCTCGGTCATTAGCGACCAATAGTGCATTTAACGGTACGGTATGGTAACTGTGAAGATGACATGATATGCTGATGATAGGGGTGAAAGAACGAACCCAAATACAGCCATGCTCGAAGCAGAGCTCGAATCCACGTACCTTCGGCTCGAAATCACTACGGCACTAATGACTTAATGATCTCGGCCATCCGGACCGGCATTTTGATATATTATATTAAAGAAATTTTTAACTTGCAAAGTACTAAATTGTAAAAACCATCACAGAACTTGGATTAATAGAGACAATACAGAACAATGAATGAAAACAGTAGTGGACGGACTTTTAAAATAGATACCTACCATGTGTGACAAATTATTAGTGCTAATAGTATTGTGGTTATTATACATTCAAGACATTGATAACAGTATGATTTCGTAAGCAAGTCCTGTGAGTTACTCTTTTATGAGAAAGTGTGAACTCTTACGCTAGTAGTTTTTCAAAGAAATGAAATCATTCATCTACTAGCGAGTTCTGCGAGCGTTAACTTATTAATCATTTATTACTATTAAGATCGCAGGTGAGATATATACTTCTAATAATAAAGTAAATAAAAAGTGTTGCCCATTATCAAAAATATATTTTAACTTAAGATCTTTTCGATGACGTAGCTATCATCATCAGACCTATCTTGCAGTCTCTGGGCAGAAAACAAACTTCTGGACTTCGTTTTCCGCAAGATAGCTCTGATGACGATAGCTTCGCTATCTAAAAGATCTTAAATATACTTTTGGTACTGGACCACACCTTTTATTTACTTAAACATTTTATTACATTTGACATCTGATTCTACATAGAATCAGTTTACATTTACTGTAAAACGAGTAATATTTATGTGGCACACGAATAAAAACACGAATAAATAAAATTAAAGGATTTGCCTTCTCATAGTTTTTTATTGGTAATTTCTTATCCATAGAAGATTACTCAGGTAACGATGTGAAAACATTGCGAACTGCAAAGTTCATTTAGCAAATAGTTTTTGTCATGATTGGGATAATATTTTTGATTATCAATTTATTACAGTCAAACATTTCGGTTCCTAAAGGGACCTTCATCAAAAAGTAAAATCATTTCGTGTTGTTAAAAGTATAAAATTTGTTGTCGTTTCGTGTTGTATACGTTTTGTACAACAATCGCGGAGAAAATGGACCAATATGATTTGCACCATTGAATTACCAAAATTCTTTATTTGCCAAGCGTTTAAGTATTTCTGGTACGATGTGTAATCGCGATTAGAGTTTTCTTTTTGCATACGTCTAGTATTTGAAACATTTGTGACGGAACGTCGTAATCTTCAGACTACTTCATGAAAAATCTTATCTTGATGAGCTTTCCAGATGACCGAGCATAAATATTTTGTCCTCTTATCATATACGACGACCATGAAACACGTCACTAGGTCATCGACTCCAAAATAAACTAGTGCCACAGAATTTCTCATATAAGTTAGTTTTTAATAATCTCTCGACACGAGGATAGCTCTACGGTTCCACCCTATGCCCTTCACAACTGCCGTATATTGGAGCCTAGCATGGTTTTTCGCGGAACCAACCGCTGCCCTGAAGATTGTTCTTAGAAAAAGGATATTCTGTTTTTCCCAAATGTGAGACCTTTAGCTCCTGTTGCTTCTGAACTTTACATTAATTACACACATATTACATTAATGCACATGGTATTCCATAACTAGGGAATGGAATTCCCTAGTCCTGAAAACTACTAACTCCTGAAAAATCGGAATTTGTCCTGAATATTGACATGTGTCCCGCTGTGCCACCAGATTTTTCTTTGTTCTTACCAAAAGAACTGAATTTTTACTCTGTTATATTTCCAGATAATCTTACAAAAACGGACGCGTTTTGGGACTACTAGTGAACTACATCACAGAACTATGCGTTACATAAGAGAACGTAAGTGGCTAATTTATTTGTTAGCAAATATTAATATTTTTGTTTTATTATGGTGTAATATGAGAACTGAAAAATAGATATAGAATGATTCTGGGTGGTTTGAATTCCAGTTCATCTGTTTATCCCACAATGTGTTAGTGCAAGAGAATCTGGAAAGGAAAGGTGAAAAGGGCTCAGTCAATAAATGATTTAATATTGATTAAAGTCATGCTTCATTTATTTATTTTACTTAAAGGTCCTGAAACAATTCACTCATATTGTTTGGAAAAATAAGAAAAGTGGAAAACAGGAAAAGTCAGGGAAAGTTGTCCTAGAAAATTAGTGGTCACTCTGTTCTTCTTGAAAATGTGCATCATAATTTATCTTTATCTTCTATTTAGTTGTTTACTTCATATACGATATCCTTGTAATTCGATTTATTTGATATACTATTTAGTTGTATAATAATGAATAATTTTATTTGAAATATATTTCGGATGTCCTGAATTCTATTGTTATCGTTACGACAACCATACCCACGGCCCCAGCTCGATGCTTGTACCATTATTGTAGGTGTTGGAATCCTGTTCCTCAATTGCATTCTCAGGCAGATTGTTCACAAATCTCACACGCAGTCATCAGTCTACGAAATAATTGAAGGATTAATTGATGTGACTCACGAGAGGCTGGTAATACTCCCCAAACCAAACACAACGGAAAACATTTATGCCTCACGCGGATATTTAACGCACAACCTTCGTTGGGCGCACCTACTTCGAGCCCCTGGCCCACGGGACCTAGACACTGAAAATATCATACTGTGATGTAAAATCATAACAGTTTAATTAAAATTATAAGTAATATTATGAGTAAAACGATATTCGTAAAACTGATCTTTTTATGTGTACGTGACCTGTAAAGTGTTTCGCAACATCTAATTTAAGTATCTCAATGGCACTCTTGACACCATTCGTTTCCGTATTCACAACGTAAACAGACCCTGGCCCACGGGACCTAGACTAGGGGCTGTTTACAAAAAAAAACAACTAAACTTTTAGCGCTAAGGAGTATCAATTTCGCGACTGCAGCCGAAGCAAGAAGGCGCCCTCTTACCACAGTCACGCAGCAGGTAGAGGCTGAAGACTCGCAGACCGGGTCACGGCGCTCGGCTAATTACCGAGTACATCCCTAGCGTGCGCCAACAATCGTTGTACATAATTATATTGGCAAGATTATATTTATTTCATTTAATTTACAAATTACAAAGAGAGAAGAATACATAGAGAGAAAGGAAAGGTGGGTGGAAAGGAGGGAATGGGAGTAATGTTAACTATAATACATCGCAATTTGTACACAACCACTTATGGTTCCGCAGAGCCATATTTGTTGAATAACTGGAAGTTCATTTCAAAATTAATATGATAGAAAACTAACCCATGTAGTAGTACCTACATGGGATGAAAGAAATACAGAGATAAAAGAGAAATCGGAGGAGGGAAAGTAAAGATTTGTTTGGTAAAAGACAAAATATTTTACCACTATCTTTCGTAATGACGCATTCTACCTAAACGCTGCGAAAGTAGCAAGCATTAATATAAATAAAACAATGGAGTATAGTATCGTCCGTGTCCAGAGGCGCAGAAGTCGGAGGCAGCGATGTGTGCACTGTCTCAAGCGTGGATTTGAACCCCCCCTCCAGGTAGACGTATTCCCGTTCCGTGCAGCACTGACTGTACGGCGTACCGATGTAGACGACTCGGTGATGGGGCGTCGGGGTGTTGCACTCGATATCCTTCAGCCCCGTCAGCTCGGAGGCATCCTTGCGCATCGCCTCGTCCCGCAGCCACGCGCACTCCACCACCAGCTTAGCAGAGAGGCGGGTTTTAGACTTAACCTTCAGCATGGCCTGCAGCAGCTGTCGCGCGTGACACGACACCCCGACTCGCTGCGCCTGCGCGAAGTCCACCTCGTGGCGGTGAAGCACAGCTTCGTCCAGGTTTTGGAATGGAAGCGCACCGGTCAAGGTGTAGAATAAAATGACGCCCATGCTCCACACGTCTGCCGGAAACGAGCAAGAATACTCTTCACTGATGATTTCGGGCGCCAGATACGGTACGCTACCCGCAATGGTCTTCAGGGTGGCGATACCATTTTTGCCTTTGGCCAGATCGAAGTCGGTTACTTTAATGAGGGTACGTGGGTCGCTCCGCTCCAACAGAATGTTCTCGGGCTTGAGATTGAAGTGACAAATGCTTCGGTCGTGTAGATACAGCACCGCGAGGGCCAATTGAAAGAAGATGAGCTTTGTCTGGAGCTCACTCAATCTGTGTTTATTAGTCACAAACTGGTTTAAGTCACCGCCTGCCATAAACTCGGAAACCAAGAACCGTTGAAAGCCCACCTGTAGATCGTAGTATACACTGATGACACACGGATGTTTCAGAGTCGTCAGAATTCCACCTTCTCGATGGGCATGTTTCATCTGTCTCTTTTTGTTCTTTGACTGGATAATCTTTAAAGCTCTTCGCTGATGATTCATTCTCTTCTCGAATAGCACGTAAACGTTTCCGAAACTCCCGCTTCCTAGGCAATTTCCCGCAAGATATTGCCCGTGCAGCTCCGTTGGCAGCAGGCGCTCGCTCTCCTTGCTGTTCACGTACACATACGTGGCGTCTTCCCGTCCAAATGAAATGCGCCCTCCGTGCCGCAAGGGCGCGCTCTCGCCGCTGAGGACGGGCTCGTCGTCCAAGCGGACGAGGTCCGAGCCGCTGTGCAGGGCCACGCTGCCCGTTCGGGCGTCGCGCCGCACGGAGAAGAGGCCGGCGCGAAGGTGGACCCTGGGGGACACCGGCTCGTCGGCGGCGTCGCGGAGGAGGGCGTGACGCTGGTCCAGGTGCAGCCCCGCCCACTCCCGGCGCAGCTCCAGAGGCGGGGGGCCGTCCCGCTGTGGAAGCAGGTAGCCCCAAGGCGTCGGCGCGCGATGGAAGAAGCTCATGGCGGGCGGAGGCTCGGGCGACCCCGCGCACGCGGTGCCGCCTCGGGAGAGACTGCCCCACGCCGCTCTGCGAAATGAAGAAGCACAGCCCTATCGCTCTTTGAGAGATAACATTCCATAAACCGGATTCGAATCACGCGAGGAAAATCTTATCAAGATCAGTGGATGAGATAGCTCTGCGCCGTTTTTCTTGATTTCTTTATCGTCGAAAACAGTTAAAAACTGTGAGTGACGTGCTACAAGGAGAATTCTATTCTGTACATGTTTTCTTAATTCTGACATCACTACCCCAAACCATATACCACAAGTTGAATTCTGTATACAGAAGGAAATGGACGTTATTGTCAAGAATTGATGAGAAAATGTTCTCTACGGTGTAAAAAAAGAAATTGCAAGGGCAAATCAGCTACAGATTTGAGCTCTTATGTGTCATCGTGCCCTTATTGAAGGAATATACTTCCTACCGAGAGAACGTGGAGAAGTTAATTTTACCAACTATATTTTCCTCTGAACCGCAGTGCACAGATACTGCAGTTAGTACATTTACGTCCAGAAGAAAATCAAGAGGCCATCTCAGAATTTGCTCAAAATATCAGGGACACTGGATGAAAAACTTGTTCTAGAAGGCGGTCATTCACCCAGTAGCTGAGGTGTTCATGGTTGTTTGGAATTATACAGAATTGTGCATTATTAGAGGTTAGCTGTAGTAACTATTAAGATAAGTTTTTAATTTCAATAGTACCATGCCAATTGTAATAGTAACTTTATTGTAATAGTAACTCATTTATCATCGTATAAATACAAGAAGATGTAGAAGAAAACGATTTACAGCAATTTTGTAATCAATTAAAAAATACAGCGAAAATGAGGAAACGGTACGGACACTCAACACTTTTGTCTTTTATGGGTATCAGAACTGTCTCGTACGATATTCCAAAAAACCTTAGCGAGCATTGTTGGCATCTACTCCCCCTGATATAGTTTTTTTTTAGGCTCCATATTTCTTTGAGGAATCTTTCGTTTTCGTTTGAAACAGCCGCAGTTGTCCGGAAAGTGGTCGATATTCGAATGTAAGAAATACATTTTATAGGACATATTACACCCCAATATGTTGGTAAAATTATCATATTTACAAAACACACAAGTATATTTGGTATAAAATAGTTGCATTCCCAACATTAAGGCAACGCTCTTTAAACGTCCATATGTTTGCCCCATATATTCAGCATACTGAATTGCTCTAAGTGTATGCTCCAATGCATCATGTCTCTTTTGACATAGTAGTAAAGGCGATTGGAACAGAAAGCATTGTATTAATATTGTGCAACAGAACACTTTTGACCCTTTTTGATGCATCTATAAGTAACCTCTACTGATTTGGATCATAACAATCTCAATGCTCTCATCAAAATACACGCACATCATTGCAGAATGTGAATTTGCCATCACATGAAAAATCTCACAAACTTCACTTTTCTATTTCTACACCCAGTAACACTCGCAGCACCATGAATCCCCATTCCTAAAGTCTGATTTTCTATTGTTTAAGCCCAGATCATGAATTAAGTCATTTACGTTTACAAGCTGTGGAGTTGAACCTGCTATCTGATAGGATCTTTTCTTTCCTGATGACTAATCACGACTCTCACGATGTAAACGTTTATCAGTCACATCTTGCACATTCTGATATGGCGGTGACGGTACAGGAAGTGTCTCATAATGACTAGATGATCTGATTGCTGACAAAAAATGTGGGTATTCAATAAAGTTATTTGATTTGTGGTTAGGTAAAACCTTGGATATTTGTTGTACAGAAATAGCAATTCATAAGGTATTTCTTGAGTTCTCTCCATATCAGTGGCACTGAAAACAACTTAAAAATACCTTTTACCCTCCAGCTAATTAATTTTTCATAACAAGTGAAACAACCAAAATAAGGAGCCCGTGTCTTCTTCTTAATCTCTTATTTCTGAACATAAGTACTGTATATAAGCCTTCCGTTCAATAGAGATCATCTTCCTATTCCTAGTGAAAGTAAATACTTTGCAAATGTTGCAGAAATTGTCTGTTGTTTCATTTCAAAATTTATAGCAAGGTATTTTATGATAAAGGGGAATTTTATACCTGCGAATCTGGAATTAACATATGAGCGTACAGAAAGTTAGAATTCTTACACATAAAAGATACCATTTAAAAGGGAATATAACATACAGTGTATGTATTCCACAGTCGTATAACACAGTCACACAATGGTAGCCTATACAAAAACAATGTACTCAAGAATAGAATATTTAGCACAGAATCAATGTAACCAGTTTTACCAGAAGCCTAATGGTGAAATAAGACGGAATAATTTTGAATCTGAAAAACTATCTCTGATATGCTATTTTCAACCTTAAATTTGAATTCAGTGTAATAAAATCATTAAAGAGCACATATTACCACTTCAGAAAAAAAATCGCTTATAACTCAGAGTTACCTATCTTGCGATTCTGTAGGGTTTCCAAAGTATTTTTTCTTGTAAGAACTAAAATGGCTTGTTCTTTGTAATCAGAATGTAAATGAAAAGCTGTTGTAGAATACAAAAGAAATCTGGCAAATTCGCCCATTACATACATACCTAATAGTTTTTAACAGGCGATGTGTCTCAAGGCATCATTTGATGATATTGCAGGGCATCTAACCGGGTGGCGCTAGTATTGGAGTCCCGACGGTGTACGATGGCAGGATTTTCGATTCTAGACGACTAGGTCGACTGAGTTCGAGTCTGGAGATATGTAACAACCGGCTCCTGATCGGCCCTTTTCCGTGGTTCCTCGGTTCAACACCAGGCGAATGCCGCAGCAGCACCCTAACAAACGGGCCACGGACCGCGCGTGATCCTTCCTTCCTCCGTATCCTCACCCAGCCTTGCTTGCACACGTACATGCACTACATGTACTATACTACCACTTGTCGGGAGCTTAGAGGTTGTTTGGGCTGGGGCGATGCCCAGCTGGTGGAAGATATCCAGTTGGGGGAAACCCCGCTAGCTGACGTATGTGTCAGTTGCCGGATCTCAGCGGGAAAAGGTCACCATTACCACCACCACCACCACCACCACCACCACAGGCTGCAATAAAACACACACTACACTTACGGGATTACGACCTTGCCAGTTAAGCACTCGGAATCAAACACCATCACAGGCCGCAATAAAATACGAACTACATTTACGGGACTAACTACATTGCCAGTTGAAGCACTCGGAATCAAACAACGCCCGAAATAAAACATACACTACACTTACGGGACTAACGATCTTGCTAGTTGAAGCACTCGGAACCAAACACCATCACAGGCAGCAATAAAACATGCACTACACTTACTGGACTAACAATATTGCCAGTTGAAGCACTCGGAATCAAACACAATCACAGGCCGCAATAAAACACGCACTACACTTATGGGACTAACAACCTTGCCTGTTGAAGCACTCGGAATCAAACATCACCACAGGCCGCAATAACACATGCACTAAACTTATGGGACTAACGACCTTGCCAGATGAAGCACTCCGAATCAAACATCACCACAGACAGCAATAAAACATGCAATACACTTACGGGACTAACGCTCTTGCCCGTTGAAGCTGTCGGAATGAATGCATCAAAGCGCGTGGAGCGAGGCAGGGCGCGGGCGGACGGCGTGGAGCCCCGTGAGCCGGAAGGCGTCCTCGCGCATGTCATCGTCTCGCAGCCACGGATCCTCCACCACCGCGTCCGCGCTCGCCCGCTCGGCGGCCCGCGCCCTCAGCATGCGCGCCGCCAGCGCCCGCGCCTGCGCGGACACGCCCCGCCAGCGCTCGGCCGCGAAGCGCACCTCGTGGCGCTGCAGCATCGCTTCGTAGAAGCTCTTGAACGGCAGCGCGCCCGTCAGGCTGTAGAACAGGACGACGCCCATGCTCCACACGTCCACCGCCAGCGTGTACGCCGCGCCGTCGTCCTCCGTCTCGGGCGCCCGGTACGGCCCCGTGCCCGCGCACGTTCTCAGCGACGAGTGGTACGTCTCGTCTTTGGCCAGGCCGAAGTCCGTCACTTTGATAAGAGTGCGTGGGTGGCGCTGCACCAAGAGGATGTTGGCCGGTTTTATGTCGCGGTGGCAGATGCTCCTTCGGTGCAGGTACTGCACGGCGAGGGCCAACTGGAAGAAGAGCAGTTTCGTCTGCGCTTCTGAAAGGAGGCGTCGGTCGTTCACGAAACGCGAGAGGTCGCCACCTGCCAGATACTGCATGACTAGGAACTGGCGGTTGCCCATCCACGTCACGCTCGACATCTCGATAACGCAGGGGTGTTTTATGGATTTCAGTATTTGGCTTTCCCGTTTGGCCACCTTGCGTGATTTGGCGTTGTCCGACACGACGATCTTCATGGCTTTGCGGCGATGATACTTTCGCTTGTCGAAGAGCACGAACACTTTCCCGAAGCTTCCCGAACCGAGGCAGTGCCCCACCAAGTACCTGTCCAGCACCTCCTTCGGAGCTTCGAACTCGTCGCTGTCCTTGCGATTGACGAACACGTACGCGCCGTCCTCGGCCGCCAGGGCGATGCGCGCGCCGTGGCGCAGCGCGCGCCCGCGCTGGCGAGGCAGCGGCTGCCCGTCCAGCCGCACGCCGTCCGCCGCCGCCGTCAGCGACGCGCTGCCGCTCGCGGCGTCGCGACGCACCGTGAAGACGGCCCGCGGCGCCGTGCAGTGCGGCAGGCCCACCGCGCCGCCGTCCGCGGCCGGCGGGCAGCTTTCGCTCGCCAGCACCGTCGTCGACTCCAAGCGCAGCTCTAGGGCGGGTGGGGCGTCTCCCAGCGGCAGCAGGTAGCCCCACGGCTGCGGGCTGTCGCCTTGGCAGCAGCCGACGCACCACATTCCGTTGGGAGGGCGTGGGGCATTTGTGCTGGTACAACGCTTGCACAACTCCTTCCTGATCAATCCTCGAGCGGCAACATGTGGGTTATGGTGCCACTGCGATCTCTTGATGACTGCTATCGCGTGGTTGAAAGACAAATGTTCTAGATGTTCCATTACATCGTAAAAGATAAGGCTGGACACTCAAGATAGGCAGATTATAAATTTAACGCCATCGATAAAGCGGTATTTCATCGTGTTTGTTATCGATGCACAGATAACACGTCTCAAAAATTTGAAGGTAGTTCAAGCGGAAATTCGTTATCGAGAGTTTTTGAAAGTGATTTTCACAGAAGTTTATATACGAATTCTCTTCTGTAATAATATCGATAACCTTGTCCTTATGCTGAGCCGAATAGACAAACATTCTGCTGATAGCACTGGAGACAAAAATCTTTCTTCGATTACGAACGACGACGAAGCACTGCTGTTCGGGGATTCATAAAATTGGGGTGGAAATAACGACAGTCCTATGTAGAATCAGAACGTGAGAAATATCTTGCGGCTGAACAATAGGAACTTCTGAACGTATTTCCGGTCCTCGGAAATGACCGCCCACGTCGGCTCATCGTGAGCGCCGCATTGTCTCGAAGATCTGCACGTCATTTGTTTATATTTTATTTTTTGTTTATTTTTTGTGTATTTTTTGTTTATTTTTTATTTATTTTTTATTTTTTGTTTATTTTCTGTTTTGTTTTTGTTTTGCAAGCGATGGAATGATGTGGTAAAGGAAATAGGAATTAAAATATCAATAAGAACTTCATGATCTGTTTATTCAATAGTCCCTTATATGTACTTGTAAATGTTCTTCACGAGCTAGCTACTCGAAATCATTGCAAGGGTAACGCTAAAGAATTAAAATTATTCAGAGAAGCTTGTGAATTCAATGTTTACATACTATATAATGCTATAATTAAAGTTATTATTCTATAGTGACCAGCATACCCGTATGAGCAATGGATATTTCTCACAATCAAATAAAATCAATTGAAATATTGGGTACTCATTTTTTCCAGTAAGATAATAAGCGTTGTGTACAACTTAAAAACATTTAAGTTGTGCAAGTGTACAGTTAACAACAGTTACTAATATATTGTGGAAAATATTTTACTTTATTTTTTAATAATTGCAACATTATATTTCTTCAGTTAGAATGCATGAAGAATTTCATTACCATTAAATTATTGTTGGCCATTTATGTAAAATGTTTACAATTATAATTAAAAAAGGAATTTAATTTTCCCATGAACTCTCTATGCCTAACACCAGACTTAACGCATACACTATGTTTAACTGTAGTGAAAATCTATCTAAATACACAAAACTACTCTAGGATTTGATTATTAAATTATTATAGTAAGAATTATTAACTACTTATAGTTGTCTACGATACAATTTTAGAAATACACTAATACATAATATTCACATTTATTTATATTTTTCTACGAAAAATATCAAAATTGAGTTACATAAAATAATACATAATAACTGAATTGCCTGAAGAGTAAAGTGAATTACAGAAAGTAGTAATGAAAAGTATATTTGCTAATTGAGTTAATACATTAAATTCAAACAAACTTTCAGATACATTCACTGTTTTTCTCTGTCAAATCTCAATTCTGAATTACATAAAATTGTACATAATGAATGAATTATATAAAGTGGGAATGAGAATTACGTAAAATAAGAATGAGAATTACGCCAAGTAGTAATGAGAACTTCTTTTTGCGTCTTTTCTCAAACATGGGGTATTTTTATCCACTTCAACAATGTTTTGCATGATTTTTTTGAATTTGATGACTCGGAAAATGCAATGGAGAATGTTCTGCACGGCGGAAAACTTTATTTTAATTTGTTTCGGAAGAGTGGATGTATGCTTGAATTGTAACCAGATCGTACACGGAACAGTCACTCGGGATGATTTAGACCATGGAGGGTGGTTTTGCTCCATACATCACTTTAATATATGTTTATTAAATTGAATGTTGGGTGTTGTATTTTCAGTTGCTTTAGCCATTAGTCGATTCTATCGATTAGTTTGAATTTATTAAAGTGATGCATGGTACAAAGGGAGCCTTCGTGGTCGTAAATCACCCCAAGTGACTGTATTTTAAAGAAGAACGGATATTAATAATTGCGTCAAAGAGATTTCTAGTTTGTTTATTAATAAACGATCATAATTATGAAAAATCAGAGCTTAAGCTTCGCAAACGGGAAGGGAGCGCAGAGGCAGAGGTCTGATGTCGGTCAGAAGCATCCCTCGGCGACTTCCAGCACCCGGGGCAGCGGGCGAGGGCCTGGGCCTGGGCCTGGGCCCGGGCGAGGGCCCGGGCGAGGGCCTGGGCGAGGGCCTGGGCGAGGGCCTGGGTGCTTCGGGAGGACGTAGGCCGAGGAGGCGGCGCTGCTGCGCCGGGAGCCGTCCATCGCCAGGTACAGCTCCTCGACCGCCAGCCGCTTCGGCAGCTCCAGGGCGCTCGCGTTGGCGTACATCGCCGCTGGGGGCGCGCCCTGCCGAACAACGCAGTAAACAAAACTTCCATTGATTAGTGTTTCCGGGGGCGACAAATGCTAATGCTATTGGTTCCGTAAGTGCAGTGAATGTTGGTATCGCGGGTGGTGGTGGTGGTGGTGGTGGTGGTGGTGGTGGGGGTGATCTTTCTCCGCTGAGTAGGCGAGATCCCACGCCGACCTACATGTCGGTTCGCCCCACCAGGTATCTCCCACCAGTGGGGGGACACCCCCACCAGCCGGAGCAAGCTCCAAGCTCCCGACTAGTCTCCCAGCTTGTGTGGTAGTGAAAGTAAGGGGTGGAAATAGAACAAGACACGGGAAGGGAAGATCGCGCGCAGTCTGTGACTCATTTGGCAGGGTACTCATCCGGCATTCACTTGATGTCGCTGCCACCAGTTGCAGGCCACGCAGGTCACGCGTTTCTTTTTGCAGTGAAACTGAGTTGCTTTCGGTCATCAGTAATGTCCCAATTCCGGGTCAGCTTTCTTTACCTCAAGGAAGACTTGTATTATTATGACTTTTCGCGGATAATATTTTTTTAAGCTGCCTAGTGCTGAAATTTATGGCACAGAGGACTTTTTCTATCTTTTGTAAAGCATTTTTTTCGCTGACTTAATCGATTTTTAATATCATTTTAATGGTACTCGCTTCAAATAATACTTACATGATGCAACACATGGTCTACACAAAATTCCTGAGTAGCATATTCCATTTCTTTGCTGGGAAATTGTAATGACACTCGAAGTATGCTAAGGTTACTGCGACGCCTATCAGTGTCATTGCCGGTTCGGCCGATATAGACAGAGTTTTCGTTGTAAAGAATAGAAAGTTTGCAACCACTGTATTATCTTATTTCTAAAATTAAATTTGTGTGTCTTTTTGTTCTGTTCTTAAATGCTTCTTGCATATAAATATTATTAATGTATCTGCCTTATCGGCTGCAGAGGGACAATGGACAAGTTAGAAAAAATAAAAAAGTTTGCAAGCTGAGTTTACTCGAAAGAAAGGAAGAAGCCTCGTATACATACAACAATTTCCTAATAGATGACTGTGATGAAAACCCTGGAAACGCCGAGTGCTTACCTGCGGGCGAGCGAAAGAGGCCATCGCCCGCGACGCGCAGATGCTGGGCAGCATGCTGCGCGCCCACAGGCTGCGCGAGCACTCCGATATGACGGAGTCGTAGTCGTTGCATGCGCGGGCAGGCGCAGTCGACAGGAAGGACTCCAGAAACGCCTCGTTGAATCTCCCCGCTGCTCGGCGCCCTGCAACAGCAGCAAGTTTCTTATGTGATAGCTCACCTCGCTCCTTCTTCTTACGGTGCCTCGCCCTCGCATTCGAGAGTCCGAAACCCTCTTGGAAGCTCTGTAGATCAGAAGCAGGTCTTGGAGAGCACACGTGCTCCCCAGACTAATCATTCTTTGTATATTTCTCTAATCCTTCTTATCAATTACCTTTGTGTCACATCACATATAAAGAAGCATTCCCATTATAATTATACTTCTTATTTGGAAACAAATAATTTATTTTTTTGTCAGCCACTAGTAAAACGGCATATTTTACGGTAGGTATAGCGTGCTAAATGTTCAATTTTATCACTAGTACTAAAAATCAGGCAATAATCGAAAGTTCAGGTAAATTTTTGTGAATACTACAAGGAAACAAAATACTTTCGTCTGTCCGCCTAGCTATTGCATTAATGTATCATTCAGTAATTTTAAATGCCGGAATTAAAATGAAATGTTAGTTAGTAAGGATGTCTAAAAATGGTGTTTGACACATGTCGAAAATGATTTTATTTTGATCGTACATGGTGCCACTCGATCTATCGGTGTCGCGTCTAAACCTTTTATACTCGCAAAACAAAATGTCTCTTTTACCACTCGTATCATAAATTACAATTTTCATTTCAAAAATGTATGCTGAGGGGAGAAGAACTGAAATGAACTCTCCCCGTGAAGTACTTTCTGGTTCTGTCTTGCACTAAATAATCGGAGATGAGCAGATAGGAATGGCCGCATCCCCAAATCAAAAGGAGTACAAACTTGATAAGTAAGATTGTGAACATGCTTATTTGCCATTATACTTGGATCTCAAAAGGAAATCTAAAAAGATGGAAGGAAAGTGTCCGAGGTACACCACTTGGTAAATATTTTAAGTTTTTAACAAACAATAGATAGCTCGATACTGTACAGAACAACACACTCTGTAGTTTCTCACCAGCATATTTAATGTCAATGTTTCTATTGGCACAAGTTCGTTTAGTATCCTACATAGTGTTGCCCGTTTCGGAAGTTGCTGCCAAAATCGTACTTTGCATTCGGGACACCAAAACATGGATCGCGAAGTCAAAATTGTAAAATCATGTGTTAACAAATTTCAGTGACGTTAAACATTTCTTAGATTCGCACGTCTTTAATTTCCATTTCACAAGATTAAGGAAAAATAATTTTCATGATACCAGTACGTTTATTTCCCCCTTTTTATTGTTTATTGGTAAGGATTTGGTAAATCAAATTCAGATTTTTGCCACTTCAACACAGGCAAAGAATGACACTTCACTTTTAGTACTTGGTGACTTTGAAGAAAATCAAAATGGATGTGTTCTGTGTGATAGTATAATTTGAGAGGCACAGTTGCTTCTAGCTGTGAATATAACTTACGCTGATTTAATAAATATCAATCTTCCAGGTGATAAATGTAAGCTACTGTAATTTTTAGTTTTAAAAATGTCTTTGACATTTTGGAAGTTTTCCATTTACTGATTTACTTTAGCAAATTCTTTCAAAGACTTCGCGTATCTTTGTTAGCCGTAAAATATTGGTTGTCTGAGCGTAATATGTGAAAATTCACATACCTCCATCAGCCACTTGATTTAGGATGGAGATACGAGTTGAAGTGTGCGATGGTCCACGTATAATTTTTCTTCGCCTGAAACATTCACATTACATATATAATAATCAACAGAAATTGAGTATATTTTCTAATTTTGATCTAGGGTTCGAATCTTTAATATGTTCAGTCAATTTAATTATGGAAGTGCGATACGTTATTATATCAAAAACAGTACGAATTCTGTTATAATCTAGTGATTTTCAAACCGTCGTCCGTGTAGTAATTTTTGGCGGCCCCAAAATATTCAATTGAGGTACAATGCGAGCCCATTGATTCTTTTGACGCCTTTCTCCAGGTTAGATATCCTGGAGAATGAAGTCAAAACTGGGGAACAAACTTTACAACGCTCCCTTAGAGAAAAGCCTTCAATTTTTTTCTGCCAACATTGAAACCAATATTGAAATTTAATGACAAAGAATCCGTGTCACAGAAAAATCTCACATAAATATCAAGAATAATACTGTGTTCCGTGTTAAAATTGCAAAATTAAAAAATATTCGCTGAAGAGCCGAAAAAAGTGGTACACCTGTCTAATATTGTGTAAGGTCTCCGCGAGCACGCAGAAGTGCTGCATCACGATGTGACATGGACTGATATCTGATGTAGTGCTGGAGGTAATTGACATCATGAATCCTGCAGGGCTGTCCATAAACTCGTAAGAGAACGAGGGGGTGGAGATCTCTTCCGAACAGCACGTTGCAAGGCATCACATATATGCTCAATAATGTTTATGACTGGAAATTTTGGTGGGCAGAGAAAGTGTTTAAATTTAGAAGAGAAGCCACTCTAGGAAATTTGGACGTGTTGGCTATCGCATTGTCTTGATGAAAGTGTCCATATCCGTCGGGATGCACAACGGATATGTAATCTGACAGGATACTTACGTACGTGTCGCTTGTGAGAGTCGTATATAGACGTGTCAGAGGTCCCACGTCATACCAAATGCACACACCTCATACCATTACAGAGCCTCCACCAGCTTGAACAGTACCCTGTTGACATGCAGGCACAACGGATTCTTGAGGTTGTCGCCATACTCGTACACATCCATTCGCTCAAAACAATGTGAAACGAGTCTCGTTCGGCCAGGCAACATGTTTACAGTCATCAACAGCCCAATGTCAGTGTTGACGGGCCCAGGCGAGGCGTAAAGCTTTGTGTCGTGCAGTCATCAAGGGTTCACGAGTGGGCCTTTGGTTCTGAAACCCCACGTCGAGAATGTCTCGTTGAATGGTTCGAATCGCAATTGACGCTTGTTACCCAGCTGTGAAATCTTCAGCAATTTGTGGAAGGGTTGCACTTCTGTCACAAGTAATGATTCTCCTCAGTCGCCGTCGATCCCGTTCTTAAACGATATTTTTGCGGCAGCAGCGAGGACGGAGATTCACTGGACGATGATTTACTGGATTCCCAATATTAACGGTACACTCGTGAAATGGCCATACATGGAAAATACAACTTTCTTCGCGATCTCGGAGATGCTAGGCCTTATCTCTCTTGCGCTAACTATAACATCACGTTCAAACTCACTTAAATCGTGATAACCTGCCATTGTAGTGCCAGTAACCGATGTAACATCTGTGCCAGGATCTGGTTGTCTTATATAGTCGTGGCCGACCGGAGCGTTGTATTCTGATTAGTTCCAGATCTCAATATTTCAATACGCATGACTGTACCAGTTTTTTTGGTCCTTCAGTATATGAAAGATACAATGTTAAGTAATTACCACAATTACTCTATTGAAATGTAATTAATATATTTTGTAAAGATTTATACAATTTTGTTATTAACAAATCAATGCGGTTTGCTAGTGGTTCACCAAAAATGAAATGTCTTTTTGTCAAGAAGTTTGAAGACCCGTATTCTAATCAAATAAATGCAAATGATATCAATAATTGAATTCAATAAATGTTCTTCCAATTTCTTTTGAAATTACTCATAAATAATGATCAAAATTACGTTTGTTACTTATAATTATTACATGGCAAAATTATAATTACATTAAATTAATTTTTGGGGTGTAAAACTGATGTAGATCGAGGTTCCAAGCGAAATTTATCAATGTTCCAAATCACAATTATACGAATATATTACAGCACTATATGATATTTAAATCTCTTTTGGAATAATGTTTTATTTCTGTACAACATGTACAACTTTCCTTAGCATTTGTGACTTACGATTGCTTTAGGCCTTCATAGGAAGTTGCATGTACATTTCAAGAGTGAATTGATGAATAGTCGTATATTAACCAAACTTCAGTTAGAAGCAATTCAGTTAGAAGTATCGATACATACGTCTACACACCTTCATTACGAAAGACACATTCGGAACATTCTTTTCTATCAGGCATGGTGTTACTTGCGTTTGTATCATTTCTGTGTGTCTATGTCGAAGCCAGCTACCGATGCTCAATGCGATAGACACATTACAGATTCACGTACTTTGCATAAGCTTTCTGAACATACCTGGAGACCGCTATGATGACAAGCGCAAGCAAAAAGAGAAGGAAGATGCAAACGCCGGGCAGCCACGACCACTTGGACAGGCTGACAGCAGTGCTACCAACTCCTCCACCTCCATCACGCCCTTCGCCGTGCATTCCATCTCCCCATCCCTCGGCGGAGCTGCCGCTTCCGACGCCGCCGCAACCGCTGTCACCAGCTGCTGTCCCTTCTCGGCCGCTTCCTCCGGCAGCACCGCATCGTCTTCCGCCATCCGCGGTTCCGGCCCCGCCTCCCGCCTCGTCACCCGCGTTTTCGGATCCGACGCCGTCAGATGCGCGCCAGCTGCTCGCGGTGACGTCTTCAACCTCTAGGATTCTCTCTGGGTTTCCGTCGCCCGCTGTTTCCGATGCCATCTCCCTCGCGCTGGGCGGCGGCGGCGTGTGTGTGTGTTGCGTCCGCGTGAGGGAAGGGCACTTCCCTTCCGCGAGGCGTCCGTCGGGTGTCGTCCAAAGGAACAGGGTCGCCGGACGACCCAAGACGCCGTCTTCCGTCTGCAGCTGCACGCTCACGTTGTACTGCGTGTTCGGCTGCAACATCTCCACCTGATGAACAACAACGTTGGGCAGGAAGACGTTCGGAAATGGAACGATTTTGCAGTCAAAAATAGTTTTTATTTTTTTTTATTTTTATAACCCTTCATAGTTTTCTCTTTAAACTCGTGCTTGATGTCACAAGTTTATTATATGTGAAGTGCTCCTTTCATTACACTTAAGTGATGACTCCAATTTTTTTAGATACTCTTACATAATGCAGTGCATAAAAACTGTAAGACTTAGATTCTAGGCAGAAAATTGAAACCTTTATGTTCTAAACTTACAAACATAAAAAATGTGTCAAAAGGAAGTAGTTATTGGAAACTATTCTGACGAGGCAAGTTATCAAACTGACGTATTCTGAGGGTTTTATCTTCACAGCCCATCTAATCACCCGAAAAGTTGATATTTTTAAAAGTAAATGTATTTTTTTCAACTTACATCTGTAATAGGAAACTGAAATTTTCAGTTGTTAATAAACGTTTCCTACATTTACTGAAACTATTTCTTTAGGATTACATTAATATTCTCAATTATGTACTTATTTACTAGAAAAAATGGTAAAAATTGCATTATGAGAAAATATTTCTAAAAAAAATCTTAAAAATAGTAATTTTTTTTCAAAACCGTTGTTTCAGTGTTATTAAGAGTAATATATCTGCAAACTGTACAAATTTCATTAGCATAACATCTGAGAATTAGATTCAAACATTTAACATTGCCATTATATGGCATTCAATATCATCTAGATCTGAATGGCGCGGTTTCTTTCGGCGGGAGGGGGGGAGTGATCAGCAACAAAAGTTTCATTTGTACGTAAATTAGTTAAACAATTCAGAAACAATACCGGTAGTAACATACAATGTAGGCTTTTACGACCGGTTTCCACATCAAAATCAGTTGTTTCCGGGCTTGAAGACCGTGGTCCAATGGAGACTTGTCCATACGTTTCGCCTGCAACTGATTTTGAATACCGGTAGTGTTGAACGTAAAAAAACTTCTTAGCGCTCGATTGTACAATTAGGACACGGACACATGCTACGCATCCCGGCAAAATGCCAGAATAATTAAAGATGTTGTCATTGCCAACAATGTTTTTTAATTCAAAAGCAGCTTTCGATGGCTTAGCCATCATCATCAGTTGTCTGCTAGATGGAAGCCACAAAACGACTACCTAAGCACTTCCATCTAGCAGACAACTGATGATGATGGCTAAGCCATCGAAAGCTGCTTTTGAATTAAAAAACATTGTTGGCAATGACAACATCTTTAATTATTTTAAAAATGCCAAAGATATCCTACCACAACACCTATAAAATTCCAGAAATTTGCTTAATGTGTTTCAACATCGGCCACATTGTGGCGCCTACCGGAATCGATTTCCGGCGATCAGGGCATAAACATGTCACTGCAGTGCCTCTGACCGGGAGGTCCTATGTTGGTGTTTCGACGGTGGCAGGATTTTCAACGCTAGCTAGAGAGTTAGCTCGAGATCTGTCGCTGTCTGGAGGAGGATTATAGAGGCGGACTGCTCTGATCGGGAGTTTTCCGTGGTTTCTCTGATCAATATCGGGTGAATACAGGAGCAGTACCCTAATAAATGAGCCACGAATCGCGCGCGATATTTCCTTCCTCTTTCTTGTCCTATCCTAATCCCACACACTTACATGCACTGCTCTACCACATACGTCGAGTAGCCAATCAGGAGATTACTTGTTCCAGCTGCGGCGGTGTCCCGCTGAAGGAAGATACCTTGTTAAAAAAGCAACCGCAAGCCGACTTGTAGGTCGGCGCCAGATTTTTCCATCCAGCTGGGGATGATAATCACTACCTCCCGCGATAAAAATTTGTGTACTTAGTGATTTGTGTACTTGTGTACTTAGTGACTTGCCCCGCTTCAGTACTCAATTATCATGGTAAATGCACGTGCGAACAAAAGTATATAGTATATTGCGTAAGAGTTGCAATGGATATTTTCTGAAACATGTACGCGAGAAAAATATCGCTTCTCTTATTTATCTGAGTTGAGGTGGCGTCCGGAGCAGGCTCTATGAAGGGTTATCTTTATCTTAATCATATTTACGAGAGGGTTACAAAACCGACGTTAACACTAACGAGAAGACATTGCGAAAATGGAAAAGAATCCAAACGTATGAGGAAGTGACGTCTAAAGAACAAAAGTACCGCGACAGTAATTTTAATTTCCTCAATGACATGTAGAGTTCAGGTGGAGGTGACGTAATGACCTAATACATTTCCCTGTTTTCTTTAAAATGATCCTCTAGCGTTGATAACGGAAACTGGAAAAATTTGAATTCCAGAAGCATAGAAACACTCTAGAAACATATGAATTGTTTATTATTTACAAAAGAAATGAATATAATTGTTAAGAAAGAAAAATTACCACAAAAATAATAAAGTACTCAATTTCCACAATTACACTACTTTTTTATTTCTGGGTTGCTTCTGGAATGCAAATTTTTGCCTAGAAAGCATTTTTCAAACCAACTTTTGAGTACTTATTCCGGCTCAACCATTCGGAATATCCAAGTAGTTTATTAGATAAAATATGCTTTAAATTGTCTTAGGAGCTTATTTTTGAAGTAACGATGTTTCCTCCCCTGACACCTGTATTTGCATCCCGTACTGGAAGCATTTGTTTGCCCGTGAGCACTGCACCCCTGTAGCGAAATGCATTACACAGTGTTAGAAAGCATTTTTCAAACCGACTTTGAGTACTTATTGCGGATCAACCATTCGTATTTCCAAGTAGTTTATTAGATAAAATATGCTTTAAATTGTCTTAGGAGCTTATTTTTGAAGTAACGACATTTCCTCCCCGGACACCCTGTATTTGCATCCTGTACTGGAAGCATTTGTAATACACCTGTTGGTAGCACAACACCCCTGTAGCGAAAGGCAACCACAAGGTTAGAAAGCATTTTTCAAACCGACTTTGAGTACTTATTGCGGATCAACCATTCGGAATTTCCAAGTAGTTTATTAGATAGAATATGCTTTAAATTGTCTTAGGAGCTTATTTTCGAAGTTATGACGTTTCCTCCCCGGACACCGTGTATTTGCATCCTGTACTGGAAGCATTTGTAATACACAACACCCCTGTAGCGAAAGGCAACCACAGGCCAGAGACTCACCCGCTGCTCCCAGAGCGCGTCTCGCTCCGGCCGCGTGCTGAAGAAGCGCCGGCGGCTGCCGGCGGGCCCGCGCACCTCCATGCGCGCCTCGCTCAGGCGCCCGCCCGCGCGCAGCGGGAGCCGCCAGCGCAGCGCCAACGCACGGGGCTCTGCGCGCGCGCAGCGCAGCTCCAGCGGCGCCGCCGGCACTGGAACGACACGCGCGCGGGGTTGCGGCAACGGCGCTTCCGACGGCGTGGCCACCCGCGGCCGGAGCCGGTTAAAGACCCCTTCCCACGGCGCGGCCGCGGCGCGCTTCGCAGCAGCGCGGCGCGTAGCAGAGCATTGGTTTGAATGGCGGCCTTCCCACGTGCAGCGGGTGGCGGCTGCTGCGGCAGCCGACGCCGAACTCCAGCTACGCGAAGCGGAGGAGGGCATACGCGCCACCTCTAGCAGAACACAGCTTTAAATGGGAGCCTTCCCACTGCACCGCGGCCGCAGCGTTCTACCTGCTCCGGTCCCTTTGTTCGTCGTCGCCGGAGGGTCGGCGAAACCTACCCCTCCAGACCCCCACCCCTTCCACGGCGGGCGGCGGTGCGGCCGTGGCTCCGGCGGTGGCTGCGTCGGAAGAGCTCTGCTCCTTGAAGGAAGCGCGCGGCGGCCGCGCCGTGGGAAGCCGCCCTAAGGCGCCCTTGGCTGTCCCGGAAGTGTGGCGTCGTAAGGGTGTAATCGAACACGGACGAGAGTTGTTTGTAAAACGGTAGATTTATTAACAATCTAGACCGTAGTCTCAATTTAACAACTACCCTGCTCACAATAAACTAAATAAATAGACCCACTACAAGGAGAGATAATTTAAGAACGGCTACCACACCGCAACATACCACCGATGTTCCCTGTATGAAGCCGCTCTACTTTGAGACCATCTACGCGTCTCTCAAGTCACAACAATAAATTGCCGGCCCCTCGCCCTAGTGCACCTACACGCACAGACACGCGCTTCACCTGTCGCCGAATCCGAACAAAAAGACTGGGGCATTGTTCTACTGGCCCTATGTAGGCTCTTTTGGCTCTATCCGCCGCCGCCATTGCCTCCTCCCCAAAGCCGCTCTGGGCCCGCTACGTCCACGGAAAGTTCCAGTGCGTCATCACTCCGCCATTGGTCGGGGATGGCAGCGGTATTATTTTAGGTGTTGATAGTGAATATTGATGTCATTATTCTCTAAGTTGTATTACATCATAACAATGATTTTTAGCCACCTCCCGAGCAAAAACATGCACTGCACTTACGGGACTAATAACCCCCCACTAAATAATCAATCAATAAAAGCAATGATTCATTCAATATTAGTTTTGAGAAACAACTTCTGATTCACAATGGTTCGTAATTGTAGTAACATGTTATATCATAAAATTATTCTGATATCTATATCTTACTTCCCTTTTTGACTTTCACGTTCACAAAACGAATTGCAACTATCTCATTTATTTATTTCACCCTCTCAGTTGAAAATTGTGCTTCACACTCATTTATACATCAACACGACTGTGCAGGGTTCGCAAATTCGGCCAGAATTGAACACTGCAAAATAGCAATTTTGACGAGTTGCAAATTTATTGCTAAATTTGTTTAATTGTTGCTAAAATGCTAACTATTCACTAATATCTTGTAGCCAATATTCGACGTGAAGCGCACACTCACAAAAGCTTTCCCATCGTGACATAGCCGCAAGCATAATATTTCCGTCGACAGCGAGAGATTTCGGTATCTGTATATTTTCGCCTCATACGTCGCCGAAACAGCGACTTTTTCGCCCTGCCCCCAAATTTTGCGCCAATTACATAGACACTACGGTTGTAACTGTTAGCGTCTGGTCAATACGCCCCTCCACCGGATCGAGGGGTCCATGCTTGTCTGCACGGTTGGGTGCACAGAATTTCATACGAAATTTATTCTTTGGCCAAGAGTACATACGAGTATATATCGATGAACTCGAGCACACACATTGTATCCAGAATTCCTAGTTTCGTTAAATCCAAGCTTGAAAGTTTGTAAAAGTGCAGTAACGTATTAAGCGAGAATGTTAACTTTCTAGGAAATATAATGATTTCTCTTTTATGGACATAAAATCTTTGTATAAGAGGTACGTATGAACGAGAGGTCTCCAAAAATATTAACTCGAAAATGACCGTGAGGGGACTTGCAACGTTTGGGAACAAAGCCATTGATATGTGTGTGTATATACCTATATAATATGTAAATTTGTCTTAATGTGCTAGGTAGGGGACGAAAAATAATAAACTTTCCAGAAACCAACCGTAAACAGTAGTAAAATATACTTGTTCTAAAAGTCATTCTGACCACGTCACTTTTTTTTTGTAGGTTGGACAGGTATTCGTTATCCGAATATGTGAGTAATCCGAACACAATCTTTCGTGAAGGTATTATCTGACAGAGTTGTCAGTGCGAATTACGTAAAACATTCGGCGAGAGACTGATACTATATATCTGACTATATATCCACTCACCCATTTGTTGCGATGTGAATTTCAATGTTGTATTTACATGCTTGCTGTGAACATTATCCACTACGCGATTAACTGCAACCTACAAACAGAAAGAAAAGTATGGGTCTCCTTTTGTATATAAATATATTTGTGTAGCTCACTAGCTGAAATGTCCGGCCCGTGCATTAATTTATCAAAATCATCTACTAGTCAGTAAATTGCATAAATAATTTATAGTTGACCACCATTTAACTTTACAGTAATGGAATCTTCCATAAAAAACTGTGCTAGTTGTCTAAACGAAAACCGTTTTGATACCTATTACGGCCTGGAACGTAGTATGAGAAGAACATAGGTGGTTCCATAATTTTCCAGTCTCATCAAGATCACGCTCATCTATGGGAAAACTTTCTGAGCAATGTAGTTGCTCTCGAAATCAACGAACACCTTTAATGATACCACAATGCTTCCCATACGAATATTTCTGGAAATAAAAATATGTAATTTTGATATTTGATATTTTGTGGAATGACTAGTGCAATTTGAAAGAAGAAAAATGTTTTATGAGTAAAATTAAAAATTTTGTGTGATACCTACAAATCAGCTTCGCACACAAATGAACATACACCGTTACAAGCGCACTTCTAAACGTACCCTCTGAAATGTGTTCTTGGGAAAAAATTGTAAAAAACAAATTAGTTTGTGGTCAGATTTGCAAAGAGCATCATCGAATTGAAAACGGTCCCCAGAAGGGAAACGACGAAGGAAGAACGATGACTTACTATGAATTTAGCCGTGAGGGGAAGATCACTCGATTTATGTACAATTTTAACAGCATATCTTTTTCTGTGTTTCTCGTTCCCTATTCGTTGTCACTATCGCGCAAGGTTGAAGTGTACAAGCACTCGAATTTCACTATGAGAGTTGAATCTTTCCAAATGGACTAGCATTTCCCAAGTCTCTTATAATTTTGGGTTTATTTAAATGAAATTGACTCTAATTTTCCCTTTTTAATCAGATACTCAAATATATTTTCTTATCCTTCTTACAAAAGGTTTCCGACGCAAAATTATTTGAAAAATTCTTACCCGGGATACAATTTGGAAGAAGATACAGAACCACTGCGATAAATTGAACAATTTTTTTCTCCCGAGATGCCTACTACATCATCCGCAGGTATTGTATATTAACTTGATTACTATGAATACGTATGCTTGAACCGTGTCATTATTAAAAAAACGTGTCATCTCAAAAAAGAAAGTTGAAACAAAATGAAAGAAAACATTAAAATGGTTGGGGATAATTTTATGTGGTATTTTCTCCCTTGAGCTATTCGTTAAATTCAATACTAGATGGAACGGAGTGAAAAATGGATGAGCCCCACAGCGGAAAACCATTTACAATATTATCTACACTTTCCAACTCTGAAAATTTACGGTTTTTAGATACAATAATAATTTATTAATTTACAATTTATTTAATAATTTATTATTTTAAACTTTATTTAATAATTTATTATTTTAAACTTTAATAATTTATTATTTTAAGCTTTATTTAATAATTTATTAATTGAAACTTTAATAATAATTTATTAATTTCAGTAAATAATATCACCCACCTCAACAACGTAGCGGTGATTCAATTTGAAACGGTCGCTGCTAACGAGGAGACAGTGGCGATCAGGCCAGGCGTCACAGTGCTTCACATCTGTGTCAACACTGTCCGTGAGGTTTAACCTGTTGCTCCAGAATACTCCTTTAGGAAAGATCACAAATGTTTCCTCTCCGGGAGAGTGGAATGAAATTCTGTACTCGAGTCTTGTTTTGCACGGGAGTTTTGGCGGAATCCAACTCAGACCCACCGACGACGAATTCATTGAATAAATCACAAGATGTGTTACTTCGGGCACGTCATCTGTTGGAATAGAAGTAGATTAAGGAATATGGGTTAACACGATTTATAAAACAGATTTATAAAATTTATAGACACAATAATCTTAAATTATTCTTCTGCATTCACCATTATTCTTCATAATTGAAGGAAATAATTTAGGATGAAAAATGTAGATTTTTTCATGTTGTGTTTTTAAAAATAATCAGACGCACATACAATCCTTTGCCATTGCAATATCTCTGAGCGGGAGATCCCATGGTTGAAGCGCGACAGTGGTGGATTTTCGATACTTTTACTAGGTGGAATTTAGGCGCTATCTAGACGAGAATTCTATCAGTGGGCTGCCGTGAGTTTTCCTATTAACACAAGGAAAATGCCGTAAAAGTACCTTAAAACGGGAAAAGATCAGCGCGTGATATTTCCTTCCTCATCCTTGCTCCCGCTCCCTTTATACACAAACTCGTTCACTCCGATACTTAAACCCACAGTCCCTTTTGCACACACAGACACACATGCATTACAACATTAATTCAATTTTGGTGCCACGTTTAGAGCTCATTCAGTTTGGCCACTTCTTGAAGGTATTTAAGAAGAAAGGATGTTGCATTTCAAACTTGGCGCCTTCTCGGTTTTTTGGACAAAATTAATCTAGAATTCTCTCACAAGCAGCAAAAAATTCATTTTATATGAAGCTCTTTGGAATAGATCTTCAACTGCTTCCAAAAGTGACCGGTAGATTTCACTACCTTCTGGCCTGCCGACGACGAAAACTTTTCATATCCCAAGAAATGTCTCGGAATCCAAATTTTACCACATAAGTCGCGTTGAGATCGGATTGTTTGAGAATCTGGAGCCGCGAGCAATTTGTAGAGAAGCTATGAAATACGCGTATTGGACGCATTGAAAGTTGGTCGTATGTTGGCAAGCATTCATGCAGTCTCCGTGAACTAGCAATTCGAAACGCGGGAAAAAACAGAATGCACAAGCACAAAGCTTAAAATTCGTAAGGAGAACGTTTATTTTCGTCCAGAAAAAGGTAATCATGACAAACTCTCCAATACTTAATGATTCTTATGGCAAAGCGTAAATCTTTGTCAATTGTGTGTCGTCTTTTCAGAATTTTCTCGCCTGACGAGGGCACAGCAAGGCGATGCATAGAACGTCTGTCGTCGCAGTTTCAGCAAATGCTCTCCCAATAATTTAAGCAATATTTCGCCGCCTCAACAAGGCACGTCGGGGGAGTAGTTGAGAGCGTAGTGCTTGTCCAGGCTGGGGAGGTGCCCCATTGGTGGAAATACCTGTTTAGGGTGCCTTGCAAGCCGATCTCGCCTACGTGCTAAGAGGAACAACGCAATATAGCATGCACTACACTTAGGGATAATTCAAAAATATTTGAAACTCCCCCAAACACGAAATAATCACCTGCAATACACAATGTATTCACGGGCTTAATCACGGTGCATAACTCGGCAACAGTTTGCCCTGGATCCTTAAAATCTATTTGTTTCTAAGCCCTTATTTTACAAAATTATACTTTTTTCGTCTTACATTTTTGTGAGGTTTGGCTCATCTGAGTCCTTGAGTCGGTTGGTCAGAGATGTGCAGAATTTAGAATTGTGTGAAAACTTAAATTAACTATTTGATTTCTATGTGCTGTATCTGTGTACACGTGTTTAATGAACTCTTTGTTAATGAACACATCATCCCAGACAACATCCCACAGTTCACAGATGACCGTAGAAAGTTTGTTGGCATGGAATCATTCAATATTTAATGTGAAACTTTCAAAGTGTTGCCTTTCAAATGATCGTTTTTGTTATTTAATTTACAGCGATGAGGTGCTTATGATGGTTCATCAGTTGATATTCTCATCAAAATAGGTGTTCAATGGAGTATAAAAAGTAGGTCCACTTCCATGTTCATAAACACCTCCGTGCATTATTTTCAACTTATATAAATTTGACGATAAAAAACTATTTCCAATTCGCTGTTACAAGTGTTGTTGAATAATACTATGTGCAATAAACAAAATGAAACTTACGAGGACAAGTTACGTGGCTCCCGTTTGCAGAGAATCCCGGCCTTCTGTTCCAGTTCCAGTTTTCAGCAACCCGTGTCAGCTCTCGTACGTTGACAAAATACGTTGTGCTTGCATTCAGATTATCGAGAATCATTGATGAATGACAAATACCATTCTCGATTGTCGTAGAGTTTTCACGTAGCTTCCAGAGATTATCTCCTTCTCTCTGAAAAAAACCCTCTGAAGTTGTTTACGTACTATATCGAACAATACATCACAAAACATTTAATAATACAATACATTATAATACACATACGTGTTAAAATATTGTGTAGATATTTTAACAAAACCGACTCAAAACGACGTCACAGACATTCGTTTTGATGCTGCAAAATATTTTTTCTGCGATTGTAAAAAAAGAGCTATGCTATTCAACACTGCGTTAAGAGAGCGTGAAGCATTATTAAGATATCGAGAAAAATGTTACGTTACAGTGCAAACACCTTTGCAGTGCAGAATCAAATAATGATTCATGACATACGTATTTTTTGTATTCCAGCGTCATAAATGACCTTTTTGTTCATAAACCAAAATTAGTTCGTGTAATAGCATCTTATGGGACAGATTATTTTACCATTTACGACACGAATAATTGCGCCTTCACACGTTCAGCCAATCGCAGGAAGAGAATCGCGGGGTAGTATCGATGAACTCAAAAGCGAACAACAATTTTTTTTCACAGATGTCGAATACTCGTGACGGCGCAATAAAGTTGTTGCCAAACAAATTTGAAAACTTATTTTATAGTCGCTAATTTTCAAAACGTGTACTCATCCAATAAAGCTTAACATTAAACAATAATCTGTTGCATAACGCACTATTTTCTACGATCGTAAAAAATGATATATTTAACGCTACGTTTAGAATGCGTGAAGTCTCATTAAGACATTGAGAAAAATGACGTTACAGTGCAAATAATTTTGCGGTGCAGAATCGAAAGATAATTCGTAATATAAACATTTTTATGCGATTTTAAAAAAGCCACCACCTACCAGTCTTGGTAAAATCACTCGATCTCTCATCGTTCAAAAATTATCATTTCACACATTTGATGCTCCGTAAATAAACCTTGCGAACACAATGGGACCGTAAGCCAGACCACTGAGGCAAATGGACCCGTCTCCGCGGAAGGAACCATGGTCGGTCGGGGGTGGGGGTGGGATGGGCGGAGATGAAGTCTTACGACTGGTTTACGCTTGTTGGGTCAGTAGACATGATTTTAAAATACTGTTAGTCTCTCTCATGCACAAAGCTTCAGTCTATCAAGACTTTTACGAGCTTGACTGCTTGAAAAATGACTGCTTTTCAGGATTCTCAAGTAATTGATTCAGACATGTCAAAAAGATCAGAATTTTCATCGTCATACACAATAATTTACACTGGGATTTAGGGATTTCTAAAATTCCTTAAGTCGACCCGTGTATTGCCTTTGAAGCAACTGCTAGACCACGATAACGAGGAACCAGGTTTTTCACATTCGATATTTTATAGTTGACACGATGTCAGGTTGCTCCCATCATGTTAATGTACAGCTAAAATGTACAGCTTGTCCTCCCCTCTTAAAATGTTACTACTCTAAATGTATTTAAATTCAGTGGTTAGGCGGAAGAGCAGGCCCTATGGCCTGAGCCTCGCCATTAATGAAGACATTATTATTATTATTATTATTATTATTATTATTATTATTATTATTATTATTATTATCATGGTACCAAGAAATTATTCAATTTACAATGCTGCACAAGCGTTGTACGTGTATCTAGTATACTATTGCCATGCGTTTGCAGTTTTAGAACCGGCATAGATCAGTCACGCGTGCGTGGGATGTTCATGTATAGGGCCCTTTTTGTCGCAGCTCGAAAACATGCAAATTTTCCTTGTTTACTATCGCACAGTGTACTAATCTGGTATCACATCTGGTGTCCAAATGCAATCGTAAACGTTCATATTAAACAGAAACTTTCAAAAAAGAAACAAATGGTGCTATAAGCACTTCGTACATTCTCGGATTAACATTTTCGTACATTTTCGAACTGTAACGGTTACGAAATATAATAATGCTACTTGAATCTGCAATAGTACTCCCATCCTTCAAAGTTTTGCTCACGTTGGAATTCGAACACACGTTCTTAGGTTAAGCAAGGCTGCTTTGTATTAGAGTGAGCATATTCACTATAACTAAGAGCTCCGGCCGAATAATAACCTTCGCGACGCAATGAAAAGAAAATTTAACAGGCGCAACTTACATTTTCAAAAAAATGACATTATTGAAAGATCTAATTTTTAACAAGAGATTGCCGGAAGAAAAGTGCCTTTTCCATATTGTAGTTGTGGAATCACACCAAAAAACTTTTTACTTCAGACCCGCGTCATTTTTATAAGCGTTTTTTGCTCTACACGACACATAGTCTAACACAATCAGAGGTTTTGCCTGAAACTAATTTATCGGTATCAAAGATGTACAAGTTGTAGATTCTACTTTGTATTAGAGGAAGTTATTTTCTGCATATAGGTGCAAGAATTATCTACTTTTCGGAATCAAGGACCCATAATACTTGCTGTTAAAAGTCGCCAAATTGAGCTGCAGCATCACAAGAATTTCTCTTTATTACGTAAGTACGTAGTATGCGAGAAAATAAGAGAAGAGGCGATGCAAAGCCGTGTCGTACCTTGTAAATCCAATGCGTCGTCTTGGGGCAATCTCGCTTACAGACTATTTCCATGTAGAAGAAGAGGGCCTTGGAGCTGGCTTCGACGAGGCGCAGCACGCCGTTGACGGCGATAGGCATTGCAGACGACACCACCAGCGCCAGCACCAACAGCGCGGACGCCCACGCGCGCTGTGGCGACGGCACCATCCTGCGGCGCTCGGCGACGAGAACGTGCAACGTCGCTGAAGAACCAGCGATGCGACAAGATGCGATGTCACACGATGCCGTACGAAGGTGTGACTCGCGACGTAATTTCAGATGAGGCGACAAATGCTGGCAGCGTGATGTCTCAATGCAATGCGATGAGACGCAGCATGGTGTGATGATGGCTGATATGCACCAATTTGATGTGATGTCACAGCGAGAGACGTCGCGATGTTAAGACCTGACGTGATCCGAGGAGAGGCGATGCATTTCGAAGGGGATTGCGTTGGGACGTTGCGATTCGACGATTCATTAGACGATGCAGCGCGATGCGATGGGACGCGATGCACCGCGATGCAAAGAGAAGTGACTCGATGTGGTGCGACGCGTTGTGAGGAGATCCGAAGTGGCCCACGGCCCTCGGGGCTATCGTTGGTCAGGCCCCGCCACTCTCCTTTTTTGGAACGTTCGACGAGTCAGCATCCTGGTTTCTAACCTCACAAATAGACGTCACTTCAAGCATTTATTATCTACATTACTTCCCGTCGCATAACCAGATTAACTCAATTTTAATGTGTGCAGCAGTGCTTGCTTCCTTAAAATATGCTTTACTTGATTTGTCTCCTTTGATAGTACGTGCAAACGAATTAAAAAACAAAGACGATGATTGCGTTTCGAAGTTCTTTTCTCTTTCGTTATTTCATTGTAATGTTGCAGAAAAATTGATAACATTTTAACGGCGGGGTCTGTCAGTGTCTGCCAGGCAAGCTCCTAGTTTTCATAAATCATTCACTTTTTTGATTGCGAGCGCGATTGGGACATCATTTCGAATTAATTTGTTCGCACTACCGGAACTAAAAACAATTACTAATGAGTTGTGTACAAAATGTAAATTAGCAAAGCATGTAAGATCGAGAAGCATCAATTGGTTATAATTAAAAATATTAAATAAAACTAAAAATATTATATTATATTTTAAAAATGTATTTTCTATGATATTTAAAAGCTATCGTCAGAAATTAATAGTTCAAAACTCCATTTACTGCAACGAATCAATTACGACGGCCTAAAAATGATTACACTGGCTGATGACAATACCACTACTTGTGTGTACTTTTGAAGGTAGTATATACTTGTAAATTGTCATGTCAAGTACAACGTACATGCCAAAGGTCAATTTTTGTATGAATGTAAGAAAAAAATAGAAGAAAAAATGTCATTTTGATTGATAATATTGATGTTTTATTCTATGTTCTACAGATTGCTAAAATTTCCCCTCCTTGTCACTTCTATTCTGGTATCCGCTGCGGGATTCCCTAGAGAACGACGTCACCTACATCAAAGGTGGCAACTACTCCCCGCCACGGACAGCCACGCTATAAAATGGCCAATTCTGCGTGAAATTTCGAACAACGTGCAAAAATGATTCTGTTCTCTTGTATTAATTTTAAAATGATAACAAATAATATATCTCTGTATTCCTATATCCTCCTATTTTATCCATTCTCATCGTATGTGAATGGATATTAAATGTAACATTTAATTTACCCACTAGTGAATTGAAGGATACCGCCAGATAATTAGATACTTTGTCAAATTTGTTTGTCGAAGGATACATTATTTCCAGTCTTTCGGCAAACTCATGTTGCTAATCGAAAGAGTGTTAATACGCATGAGAAAATAGCCTCTCTTCCAGTTTTGATAATATTAGTCGAAGTTTCATCTGCTGTGATATACAATTTATATACCTTTTATAAAACGTGTTAGGATCTAATTTTTAAAACAAATACGAATTGTTTGTACGAATTGTCAGTGAGATATCTCTAATTTCCATTATTTCCGAATTTCCTTTGCGTTTACGGATGTACCTCCACAGTTTATTTTCATTAGCAGTGAGGATATTTTTGAAAATAATTGAGAACCCTTTTTAAAACTGTTGCGTTTTTTTCTTTTCCGTTTTCTTTTCTCAAGACAGATTTCTGAAAATGATCACATGCGCCATGTTACAAGTCTTTGACTGAAAGCGTTCCTTGTGTTTTTATTATGAGTTTTATTCTTACATTGGTAAACTCCGGTTTACATTTATTTTTCAGGAACGTGAAAGAAACTCATTTTTTGAAGTCTTTTTCAATAATTGATATTTTTAGTTTATGTACATTGAAATTTGACACATTGGTCCCTTAAGTACCGGTGTGCCTCTTTCACTCTTTTCCTGTATTGCCCTATTCTTTGTTTCACGTTTCCTCTTGCTTTTATTTTTGTGTATACGTAAGTAACAAGGAAGATGTGTGGCCGCCAATCAAGCCTGTCGCACAAAAAGAACAATTCTGCTAAGTTGACGAGGAAGACGTCTAGCTTATCAGATGGTCTAATTCCTGAACTAATCCGACATCCTGTTGCAGTCCTGTTGCAGTCCTGTTGACTTGCGTTTTGATCTTTTCTTTCGCAAACTGCCCCTTGCCAGTTAACGTCCGTGACTGCACTGTGCCTTGTTGGCGGTTGTTTTCAAAAAAATTTCCATTCCATTCCATTTTCCATGCCAAAATTTCATAATTGTCGTTATGATAACGTTCTAACTTCCATTGAACTTCCCGATACATCAAACTCCAAACCCAGCATTTTGAATTCGTTATCTATCCAAATTTTCGTAACATAAAGATTCGTAACGTAATAGATACATTTGCGCAAAGAATCCCCAACCCTAGTTTCCGAAAAGAACTTCCGTTCTTTTATAATTCGTTCATGAGAATTCATAATTCAAAATTTTTTCATCAACCATGATTCTGTTTCTATCACTAGGAATCAAATTCTAATACTTTATTTCTTTATTTATTGCACCATAACAGTTCATCTGATGGATTGTAAGAAAATCGATCTCTACCTTTATTATTTTACCCATGACTGCAGCCGCTTCGATGCCTGGTTCCTCCATTGCCGCAGTCTCTCCAATGTCCTTTTTCATCGCTGCGAACGCCGCCGAGGCGGGCTCCTCCGTCGCTGCAGCCATCCGTCGCTCGGTTCCTTCGTCGCAACAGTCGCCAGGAGCCCAGCTTCTCCGGGCCGATGCCGCCGTCTGTTTAGGGCCAGTCCCCTTCCGCGCGAGCGACTGAATATCTCCGTGTCGAATTCAGCCGCTGTCTGGAGGAGAATTCTAGCGGACGTCTGCTCTGATCGGTAGTTTTCCGTGAATTCTCCGATCAACACCACGCAGTCCCCTGACAAATAGGCCACGGACCGCGCGCGATCTTTCCTACCTCTCCCTTGTCCCGTTCCTCATTCCTTATTTACTCTCACACATTTTACGGCCACAACACTACCACCACTTGGGGAGGTCGGTCGGGAGCTTGTTCCGGATTGAACAGTGCTTTGCTGCTGGGAGATACCTGTTAGGGGAAAACAGTAAGCTGACGTGTAGGTGGGCGGCGGATTTCACTATTTAGAGGGGGAGATCACCGTCACCTCCAACGGTAAACTTGCAATACACTAATATGCGACTAATAACATTTCCCGTTGACGCACCCAAAATCACCCAATTTACAACCACTGCTATTTCGATTGGGCCAGCGCGTAGTAAGGGCCATTAAGTGACGCACACGCATAGTGGCACGCGACTCTCATTCTGCAATTCTCTCTGGAGTAATTCAAGTATCTGTGATTGTAAAACGTAGATTGATGGAGCGTACATTCATAAAACGTAACATTTTCATAATTTTATTAAAGTCACAACTTTTAGATTTTACTACTTTGTTGGGTAATACAAAATAAAGATGTGTGGCAAGTAATACAAAAAAAATGGCGTTTTTCTCATTTTTGTTGAAATCTATGAATTATTAAAATATTTAAAACGTTATTAATTTTTTCTGCGTGTTCCTAAAAAAATATTGAAAACATATTATTATTATTAATGAAATATATCTTTTTTGTTTAGATCTTTAAATCACATACAATTTTTCGACATTATAGATTTCGTGTAATTTTTCGTAAAATATAGGCAATTTTAAAGTTTTTTTCATAAAAACAAGTTTAATTTTGATTTGAGTTTTTTCTCTCGGTTTTAGCAAAGGATTCCAAAGAAATAGTGTTGGTCCCAGTTTCGGCGTAACCTCTGTATTTTCGAAAATTGCAAATGTACAATGATCTTTTTTGAAATCTGGGCTAAAAAATAGATCTTCAAGTAAGACCATGTACAGTTTTCTGAAAACGAGTTTCTTCCACATAATTCGTGCTTGACTTTAATGCAATGTGATATTTATGCAAACTGATATTTTAAACGGCTACACTTCGTCTTTAAATTTTTTCTTCGAATGTAGTACATGATGGTTAAAATTTTTGCTCGTTTTCGTTCTCTGGATTTTCGAAAATTTCAAAATGTAGATATTAGGTGAGAAAGTATGCAATGTTCTGGCAGCACTATAGTTTGCAAAGAACATTAGAATAATAATTGAAGAGGCTATCCGGCTACTTTTGGAATTCATGGATAATGCCAGAAATAATATGAAAATGAAAAAACTAAACTTGCTAAAATTTATTGGTAATAAACAATCTAACACGAATGTACAATCATTTATTACAATAGTTTCACAAATAACTGCAATACATAAATATTTGTTTGCCTCTATTTCCAACAGTCTTCGACATTAACACATTTTGAAACTGATGTACACACAAATTTGTACTTGCAAATTTGTACAAATTTGTCTTGGAAGCTCACCTTGCAAATAGTATTAATTTTTATACATACAATTAAAGTTGAAGAAATGAGTTGCTTGCATGTATTGACGGAATACGTTTCGGTAAAGGTAATAAGAGAGTATTTCTTCCAGCCTTTTGTCTGAATCTGCATTATCTAATCTGTCTGGCAGCTTCTCAGAAAACAGTGTTTTTTACCTGTGTCGTAGTTGGTATCAGATACTTGACATAGAAATGACAACATGTGTAAATTCTCGTAGCGTTCAATCTGGTATATTAGTGATTAATTTTAAAACATCCCTAACTTGAAATAA